GCCCCTCCCCCCTGTGATGCATGTGACCTGTGGGAAGTGTAAGTCCAGTAACCAGGCGTACGCTCGCTACTGTCTGTCCTGTGGAACCCTGCTGGAACCCCCGCACAGGAACGACCCCAGGTACAGTCATGTATCTGTCACTGCTGCTGTTGCAACAACAAGACCTTAGACTTGAAATCCTGTTCAAACGATAATTGCACGAAATATTGCATGCATGTACATGGATACACAAATTTAAGTAAGAAAAGCGGAGAAAATAGCCTGACAAATGATAATTTTTTCATAAGAAATTTTAAAACTTCCAAATTGGCTTGAAGTGTGCTTCATGAGACATCTGTTAGTTTTTCTATAATATCAAAAGGAATCTAAATATGACCACAGCTTCTGAAGTTGATTGGTGAAAGTTGTAATAATTGTGTAACCTTTCCCCATCTTTAATTCTCATCTTTTCTCTCCAGGAATACGGCCAAGATTGTTCCCGGATCACAATTTGTAAGTACTATTTGATATCAGCTTTTTTCGCTCCAACATTAACATTACTATAAGTAGGTTAAACCTTATCATGTAACAGTTACTTAATTCTCATCACCACTTTGTGTTCCTGGCTGCAAGGACTCCTCCCAGGATAAGTTCATCAGCATCCCCCTGGTGAGTATGGGCCAACAGGGCTAAACATTTACCGTAGCTGCTGCCGTGGTGATCCCCTATAGTCAGGCTGGTGTAGTGATCGCTTGCTGAACAGCGTTGTATTGTCCAGCACCCTTCAATGAATGAAGGGTGTTACAGATATGCTAGTTTCTTTCACATACAAGTCTGAAGAAAGGGCGGCTCAAACCTGCATATTTGCCTGTTGCATCTGGCCCATGTATGTGGTGATTTGGGCATGTACAATGAAACAAGACATCTTTTCATTGCCCTGCATGGGGATATGCATTTATTAGACATTGATTCTACACCTTGGTGAAGGAAATTTTGCACCTGATCATCAGAGATTGTGCACTTGTAGCCACAATATGCAACAGCAACCCACTCTGCATGTTGATGAATTGTATCCATGCTTTATTTTGCACATTTCTAATGACACCTGCACCTGTGTTTACTTTGGACCTTGGTGAATTGCACCATTTTGCACTAGGTGAATTGCACTTACATGGACTATTTTGCACTTGGTTAATTGCACTTACATGAAGTAATGCATCCCTATTTTGCACCTGGTGAATTGCACCTGCATGAACTGTATTGCACCTGCATGCTGTATTGCACCTAGCCGCTGTCCGGGTCGGTGTCGGGTTCGTGGGTACCCATCGTGCCTCCCGTGTTGCTGCCCAAGGCCCCGCCCTCGGCTACAGTTGCCACGCAGACGGTGGGCCTGTTCTACCCGTCGTTCCGGGAGATGCAGCAGCGCGAGGCGCGGGAAGCCGGCGAGCGCGAGAAGGCGGAGAGGATGAGCGACAAGCGGCCGCCCGTCAGCGCTGTCAGCCCCGGGAAAGGTGGGCTCTGTTTTATGTTTACCTTAAGTTTGCAGAAGGAAAACATATTGTTTTTGCTCAGTATCTTCCTCTTCTTCTTCTTTTTTTCCCTAGAACTACTCTAATATAGAGTGGAACTCATTGCCACCAAAAGTACAGAAGGGATATTTATCACTGGATAGCTTTACACAGTGTTTGCAGTTAGATGTGTGATGGTTTAGGTGTGACAGGTGTAATGTAACCAGTTGGTGTGTTATGCCAAAGGGCTGTTATACAGACTACACAAATACATTTGTACAGATACAATCCATACTTCAGCCTTACTGTATGCCACCATGGCAAAAAGAATCTGAACACTTTGAATGGAAAAAAAAACAACTTTGTGGTCCTTTTTCTGTACATTCTATCTTCAAGCCAGTTTGAATTGTTTCATGATTTAGTAGCTACTGAGGTACAAGCTATGAAGGATTTGTATATATTGTAATATTATAATAATAGACCTGACTGAAATGTTCTGTTCTGTTTTACATGGTTGCAGGCTACTGGAGGAAGCAGATAGATCACATCTGTGGGCATCTCCGGGCGTACGCACAGAACACAACCGAGTTTAGAGCTAACGTGGGAGAACCCAGGATGGGCAAGGTTAGACACGTTTTATTGTGCATCAAACCATTGGAGTAGTATAAGAATTTTAGTCAAAGAGGGAAGATTATTTTGTTTACGAAGATTTTGAGGCACATTTGTGGAAAGATTGTCCGATTGACGTAACAGGTGACTATCACCTCTTCAACGATGTCAAACCTTAGAGCAGACAGTAAGGTTTGAACCACTCACACCGGGAAGGTCCCCTGCTCTTTTCGATAAGTGCGGTGGGTTCTTTAACGTGCTCAAGATGTTGCTGTCCTTCAACACATGACTTCTGGCTTTGTGTCCTAGATGACTTTTTTTTTCCTTTTTTTATTGTACATCAAGACATGGGAGCAAAATGTATTAGCCAAAGTTGGAATTCTATGTGACATCAGTGAACATTAGTTTTTCCCTCTTCTAACCTGATTGACCCTTGTGTCCCCACCACAGCTGGTGTCAGCAACAGTACACGAGGACGGCTACGAACTGTCACTAGCCATGACCTTTGCACTCAGAGGGAACAAGGTATGTCATCATTTTATGTCTTAGAGTTTAGAGCAGTAAGCTACCAAGCCAATCAAAGACAAATCTATTTTATAGCATGTTTACTGGATAATAACCTCCAGTCTGCTAAAGTAGCCTTTTGTATCAAGTATGGGGTTAGGCAGCAGTGAGAAGGTTAACATAGAAATGTTATTATAATTGTTGTTCACAAGATATCTTTATTTGGCATACTATGAAATTGTTTGTTAACTTTCTTTTTTTTTTTTTTTTCAGGATGTCCTGACAGGGAAACCCATGAGAGTCAGAGGTAAGGGTTCCATTTTTATGCATCCTCCCATGGCAGGGGCAGCGGCTCCGAATTCCTTCTCCACCCCTTACCCCTGCCGTATAACATGGCATCTTCTACTCTGCGACCCCAGGAATATTAATATTCATGAGCTTGCCTTATTTGGCATGACCCCATTTCTGACTTGGGCGGCGAAGGGACGTCACCCTCCCCGCCGGCGACTCCGCCGCCGCCCGGTGACGAGCCCGTTAACGCGTTGGGGAGGCCGTGCGGGGCAAAGTCACCGAGTTAACACCTTCCCCGTGCTCGGCGGGATCCGCGCGCAGCCTCCAGCACACGCTAGCGCCCCGCCGACGCCCGCAGCGGCCTGCATCGCAAAAGTTCTCTTCCCGAGACGACGCCATGTTTGTTTTTATTTGTCACTGAATAGCCGACATGATTGGTTCCGATAGCTAGCGCATCTCATAAATATTAATGTAAAGTGCGTTGAAGATTTTCTCTGTGATACGTGATTGGCTGAGAGCGTGTCCCTGGAATCGGGTCGCAGAGTAGAAGATGCCATGTTATACGGCAGGGGTAAGGGGTGGAGAAGGAATTCGGAGCCGCTGCCCCTGCCATGGGAGGATGTTTTTATGTTTACTTTTAAAGTTTGTTTCTTCCTCTTCTTATCCAAACCAAAAAGTTAATAGCCTGGACCAGACAGCTGTCACCATGTTAACCAATGCTGTAGCAGACACTGTGTGGTGTTGGATTACATTAAGTAGCAAGTGGCAGGACAGAGTTGGAGGGGCTGGTCACCAAAATATATGAATGTGTTTGAGAAGATTAAACAGATCAGTAATTTGTTGGGGTAGACTATGTGGAGGTAAACATTATCCATTTGCTTTGCAGATGTTACCTAATTTCAGTTTACTGTTGTATTCTACTACACGGCTTCATTGGTAACTGTTACTGTAAGTGTATAAAAAATGTTCTGAATTGTTTCCCTGCCCTCCCCCCAGGTGATGAGTTCCTGAGTAACCTGACGGAAGGCAGGAGGAGGAGTTTCCACGGCAGCTCGTCCAGTCTCGGTAAGTCTGGAGATCCTGCTTCACACCTTGAGCATGTTAAAGATCTCACCACACTTGCAGAAAAGAGCAGGGGACCTTCCCGGTGTGAGTGGTTCAAACCTTACAGTCTGGTCTCAGCATTGGCATCTTGAAAAAAGTCACTTTTCATGTTAAACCTTCCACAAATGTGCTAAATTTTGACAAATAAATTGTAAAACTCTCCTTTTTTCATGAAAAGCATTTTCTCATGTATTTCAAAGTGTGCCTCAATGCTGTCATTGTTTTGTTAGATCTAATGACATCAGATTCATTAATCACCAAATTCTGACTCACGAAATCTTGTTCAATAATTGTCATTTAAGCAAGTGACTCGAGTGAGAAGAAGAAGAAGAAAGGGACCAAGAAGGCCAAGAAGAAGAAACAGCCTAGTAAAGAGGACAAACTTCATGTAAGTTGACTTTAGTTTTTATCATCATCCACTACACGCTGTCTTTTTTAAACAACAGTGGTTGGAGGATTTTGATTCCAAATGTGCGAGTCAGATAATGTGGGGCCAGCCCGTGTCTTAGTATAAGGCTATTTTTGTGTTTATTAAGATTAAGATGAACAGAAGGGGCTTCATGACTAAAGAAAATTCAGCAAATGCTAGGCCTGAAGTTGATACTAATAAATGTCATATTTCTGTAACCATGCTGCCATACAGGACTGGATGGAGGTGGGACCTCATGTTTTGTTTCAGCATATATTTCAGTATTATAATATTTGTTTCACTATAGTGCCTTTGATTTTCCAATTTCTGATAAGTCATATAATCAGTGTACCTATACACATACCCTTGCCACTGGCTTCATTAATCCCAAATTGTACAAAACATTTATCACTGTCTACATAGACTGGATGCCAGACTATTTTCAGAGCCAGTACACAGGCTTGCCATAAGTCAGACTCAGGGTCAGATGAAGGCAGCACTAACAGATTTTTAAGAAAATAGCAGCAGAGGTGTCTTTCTCTGTGCATCCTCTGTAATGATGTGAGATTTGTTTCTGCTGTTCCAGGCTGAGGATAGACTCCTGCTGCAGGAGGTGGGGCCGAAGGGAGAAGGAAACGCAGAGGAGGTGCAGAAACTACTGGACGAGGTAAAACAGACAAACAAACAAACATTTCTTCACCTTGTGATTGGGACAGTGATGAGTTACACTATGAAGCGAGTTTTAACTGTAATTTCCAACACAAAAAATTGCACTTACACAAATTATTGACTGTATAACTCCAGTATTTCAAGCCCATCAAGGATGAATGAGCAATCCACTGCTTCCGTGACGTCACGTTATGCACACGTGAGCAGTGGATTGTAGGTTGCAGAAAGTCCCCATATTTGTGGCAATGCCTCAATATTCCATCTGCATAACAATTGATGTCACAGAAGCGGTGGATTGCTCATTTCTTGACAAAGACAAAGACTGGTGTTGTACAGTCAAAAATGTTCCACTGTTCATTGTACTTGTCGAAAGGAGCTGGGGGAATTTCCTCAGTACACATAAATACTGTACATGACCAGTGGAAGAGTAGCAAAACGACAATGGATCAGTGAACTGTACAGAGACATACGTGTACACTGATTTCGTCTGTCAATTGTAGTTTAGTTGACTTAATCTACTGTTAATTTACAGCCAAGAACAGTTATATAATTATGTATTTTTTTTTACCAGGGAGCTAACCCTAACCTAGTGGACAACGATGACCGTCCGGTGCTGATGGTTGCGGTGATGAACAATCGTCACGAGTCCATCCCTGTCCTGGTGCAGGCTGGAGCCGAGGTGGACAAACGATCGGGACCGTGAGTCATCCTCTTGCACTTTTGTATTATAAACCAAGGTGGTCGAAACTTTTTTCCTCATCGTAAATTGTTAACTCGCTGCCACCAAGTAACAAGTCAAGAATGCTTACAGTTAGATGTGCAAAGGTTACGTATGACTGAGGTCGTTCAATGTAAAATGTAGCTAGCTGCTGCTGCAATGTGTGCCTGCAAAGGTGGTTTTACCGGCTATACACATACACGAAGGAACTGTTCTAGTTCAACAGCCTAACCAGAACACCAGTTTCTTCATTGTAACACGTAACAGAATGATTGAAACTTGACTTTGTTGCCAAATGGGAAGGTTTATTCTATTCCATTCAATGTTTTAGTGTATTGCAGTGAGGATTTCATTATCATGTCACAACATTTTTACAGTTAATTTAAAAATTGTTGATTTAGTAAGCTAGACTTTCTTTGTGAAACAATTAAAGATAGTGAATAATGACGGCACCTTCTTTTCCACCACCTGCAGGAAAAACAACACAGCCCTGCACGAGGCAGTCAACCTGGGGCCTTCTGGCAAGAGAGCGGTGCAGGCTCTGTTAGGGTGAGTTGTGCGATGCTGTGGTTATCCTACAGTAACTATACCTAGGGCTGTTACAAACCAATTATGGGTTGTGAACTATATAGCCTTCTCTGGGATCAGCTTTTGTACACACAAGGAATAGTTTCATCTAATATCTCACAATATGTGAAAAAATCTCTACAGTTGACTAAAAATTTGTTTTTGTTGACCAAAATCCTCTCCTTGCTATATTAGGAAGATCCATACACACATTTGGTTACAAATACCATTTTTGAAAGTCTTGTTTGACATTTATTTTGTTATTTTTTTAAATTTGATTTTCTTGAAATGTGTGGTGGGTTCTGTATGCCATGAAAATTTCCCCCACCTGCAACATTGGGAAGGCGGAAAATGTTCTCCTCAAACATGCTCCCCATAGTTAACCATACTGTTTGAAAATGAAAAAGGCTATGTTGCTGAACATTACCGTAATTCCTCTGGACAAAGAGGTTGGGCTCACACAACATGCATGCTACAGGAAAGGGTTCCAGTCTTTAGGATGGGATGTTAAGCCATGGTCCACTGTTCAATGTACCTTGGGTTATGTTCTGGTAAAGCTAGACTTACCAAAGTGAACACTCCTATGCTTTATGTCGTCTTTCCTGATGCCCACAATCTTGCTGAAGATCATTATGGCATTTTTGGGAGGTTATGTATTGTTTCATAGCATCTGTCTTCTCTGTCACGACCAGTGGAAAAACAGCTCTTCAGTGATCTAAACTAGTTTGAGCTCACTTTCACTCATTGATAAGCACTCTCACTTTCTGCAGGTGCAATGCCAACTCGAAGCGTAAGAACGACAAGTCGGAGAGTCCGTACGACCTGGCTGTGAAGCTGGGAGATGAGACCATCCTGAAGAGTTTCGCCTCCTCCATGGGGCAGGACCTGCTGGACAAGATGACCAAACCCGGCAAGGCCGCTGATATAGAGGTCGATGTCTTCTAGTCTGGGTCCGGCCTTGTGGTCCGGTGTTCAGGCCGCACCAATTTGATTTGTTGGTTCTCAGATTTTTTCGGACAAAAATATGAAGAGGCAGGGCAAAAAAAAAAACCCTAGGCATCCTGTAATCCAAACGATGAATTTCAGAATTTATAACCGAACCACAGTGACTGCATTTATAGATGGAAAACTGTAACAGCTCTGAAGAGAAGGGACTTCCTCCAAAATCCTTTCCTGTTGCTGAATATCACAATAATTGTTCCTCAGGTGCAATGCTAATTCAAAGAGGAAGAACACAGATGTACAGGTCGACGTCCTCTAGTCTGGACATGGCCTCTATGATCTAGCCAGCACCCGTTTTTCTGTCAATTGCAGGAACTTTGTGGCATGTGACAAAATTTTTTAAGCCAATTTGTCAAACTTGGCAGACAAAAATCTTTGGTAAAAATATAAAAACATCCAAAGGACCACCACCAACCACGCTCAACTCCATGATTTGCCTCTCAAAATGTGGAAAATTGCATTTTTGAAGACTGGGAAATTCAAAATTTATCCCAGACCCCCCCCCCTGCGAGCACTCTCCCCCCAGGTCTGATCATAAACCTGGGCTGACAGAAAATATTTTGAGCTGGCTAGAGCCCTGGTCTGGTGTTATGGATGAATGTTCACAAGAAAACAGTTATTGGTAGATACAAATGTAATACATGTACTTACTAGTAGCCAAGTAACCTGTTATGCCATTGTCGGGTCATTGAACTGTAGGAAAACAAATATCTGCAATGCGAGTCATCTTGGAAAATCCAAAATCTATCCAGTTGCTTGACGTCCAGTCGGCTACATTGCTTTGTTATGATGTATGAAACACTGCGTACTTTGAGAAAGCAAGAGACATCTTCTGTTCATGGGGACCCTGTGGATTGTATAAACCATGTATGATGTTCAGAGTAGATTTGGGTCTGTCCATATTGCTTCAGGGAGTATCTAATCATGATTGGAGTTGTCCTGATGATGATACTGGTCTTTGGGGGTCTCTTGTACAGTAGCTTTTATTGGAAGGGAATAACGCTTCAGCTGAAAGAAGATGTGGAAGATAATAGCATGTTAAGGTATAAAAGCAATGCAAAGTTGTATATAGTGATGGCTGTAATGCTGTTGGGTGATGCTTTCATTAAACTGTGGGAATTGTATATTTGCAATAAGCCTAACCTTGGACAAGCTAAGAGAAAGAGTGTTAAATATTTTGTAGCAGAGCATAGGCATAAATACATGTATAAGTACATACTTAGAGACTTGGATGGTTGTAGGCTAAAGAGGTAATGTGGGACCATTCTGCAATATTTACACGTTATGCTAGTGGGAAAACTTTGCTCAAAGTACCTTGGACATAGCTAAAGATATAGAACTTAATGTTTATTAGGGTTTATTGGTAAAGACTGAAATGCATTCCATTTTGTTTGTACATACTGTATGTCAAACCCTGTCCTGCTGATTTTGAAGATGTTTATATCAAGCTGAACAATGCTTTTTTTTTTAATTATCAGAGAATTTTGGATGAACTAGCTTTGTACTTTTTTTTTCCTTTTTTTGTCTAGGTACACACTTTATCGTCTGATGAATCTAACTTAAGCTTTAACGGGTCTACATTGTATATGATGTCATGTAATGAACAAGTCACATGTGGTGTTATGCTGTATTTGTTAATCTCCAAGCAGATCTTTCGGTGGCAAGACTTCGGTTAGGACATGGATACAGGACGGCCAATGGATATGGTCTTTTGCCACCCAACCAAAACATCTGCTTGGAGATGAGTATTTGTAGCACTGTAATTAACAGGCAGGCTATTTTAGGTGCAGGTCTATGGAGTTTGGACTATTGTTGTCCTGTATGTTACATGATTGATGATGGCAGCTAAATACATCATACTGATATACATGTATCCCTACAACTGCTTCTTCTTTCTTTCTTCTCATTTTATAATTAGGCCATGTTGTTTTGATTATATGGATGACATCCGCGCGCACATGCATTTTCGTCCGTTTCCAAAAAAAGAAAGTTTTCAACCATACTGTAAATCGTACAAAACAGTTGCAAAATACTAGTAAGCAAATCTATACCGTAAGTTGCAAAAAAGAAAAGATTGGAAATCAATACCAATGTCGTAGAATACCAAAATTAAACAAAAAAGACAAAATGTAGAGAAATGAACTTGAAGAGTTACTGTAGATTATTCGTCATACCATACTGTTTTTTTGTGCAACCTTCATGACCACGTAGATTTCATAATGAAAGCAACTTTGTAATTTGCAAACTTTTTTTTTATTCGCACGCTCGCATCAGTTTTGGGGCTCCCAGAGGATGTCATCCATATAATAAAATCAACATGGCCTTATTGACTGAATGAACACTCTTTATGATGAAGCAATCTACTTGTACATGTCAAAATATCCGTGTACGCACAAAAGCACACAAACAGAAACATCAGACCAGAATGATGTTTTCAAGAGTACAAAGTTTTTTATTTCCCCTTACATCCAATTAACAGTCTACAGTAGAGTCAAGATAAAACCACCTCTAATTTTGACACCTTAAACAAATCCAGCCTCTCAGATCATGACATACCACTACTTATACTTCAGGTGGAGAATTATATCAAGCATATGCAAGCTACCTGCAGGCCTTACATGTAGGCAGCTATCCTTAGATTTGCATAATTTCTAGGACTGTATACAATGTAGGTAATGATAAATACATGTATCATATGTAGAAAAAAAAAAGCAAAAAATCAACTGATGGGACCTGGCAAATAACGTACGTGTAGTACACAACTAACGGTACTACTTACTTACTGATCAGTATAAAACAATTATTAAGCGTTCAAAAATAGTTGGGGCAGTAGCTGATAGGAGATCCCTCGAGCTAATTATAGGGGAGTGCGTTGACGTGGGTATGGAGGCAGCTGTGCTGAGTCGGGGCTACCGCAGCCTCCCCACACATTCCCTGCCAGCTCCCAGCCAGACCAGGCATGCCAGGCATTTTGCTAGTGCCACCATGCTGACATGGAGCCTTCTGCCCCGGGGGGCAGGCCTTAGCTGGCTCACTCGCACACCGGACGGCAACCCAAATAGAGAACCGTGTTCCCTAAATATAGGCGCAGCCATGCCAGAGGGATGGGAGGTCACCTGTGGTCACACCGACTGCCTCTGCCTGGTGTATAGAGTAGAGGGAGTCGGTAGGTACTACCTCATCCCTCTGGGAATGGAGTTCTTTAACGAGAGGGTGGGGAGGAGGCATGTTTTTTTCTTTCTTTAAAAACGAGTCTGGAGGTGTGAGGCGGCACATGTGGTCACATCTGGGTTTGCCAAGTGGTCGAGTTTTGACTTTTCCCAGATTGTATCGCTTCACACCGAAGACAAGTTTGGTTTACTTTCGAAACGGGCCGATTTTGCAGCAGCACGTGGTCACGACCTGCGGACAGCTACTACCACGAACTGGGCGCGGGTCTGCGCTGCTGCGAAACCGACCGCAGGCCTGTGTGTCCGGCCTGAACACGCGCAACACAGCCGGCACATATGGTCACATCTATCCATGTGCAACAACCCTGATTTTGGTCCCGGAAGTAACACATACATAAATATGTGCCGCTGTGATGTCCGTATCCCAGCCGAAGCACAGGTTTACGCTCTCGGTAAAACCCGCCGTCATCACAGCGAAGCTACGAAGTCCTGTCGTCAACGCACTCCCGACTACATCACTACACCTATTACTGTCCCCTCCCCGACCATTACAGTTCATTCTTCGTATTCATATATCTTGTTGCAAATTCTGATGGTTGCACAATGTTGTAAGATGGCACGACTACATACACTACCTCCCAATGACAGAAGTTAGAAGACTTTTTTTTTTGTTCCTTTGGCTACTACCCACAGACCCCCTCCTTCCTCAACATACAAGCACAATCACAACCCAGCCCTGCTGTCAAAAGGCACGTGTTCTCACTAACTCCCCCAAAGTACGGAAATTACCCCTGGAGTAACCCAACGGATGGTGACTAAGATAAATACATTATACATTTATTTGCATGTGTATGTAGAGAGGTTAGAGGTCGCTCTCTCCGTAGAGTGCTGTGGCGAAGGAGATGTAGTCCAGCGCGCCGGGGATGCCGTCCGGACCGGTGTAGTGGGTCATCCTGGCGATGCAGTACTCGGCCTGGTCGGGCGGCAGCTCACGCCGCAGCTCTTCTTGTGTGATGTAGGGCTGAGTGGGGAACAGAGACGAGGTAAGATGTGAAGCCATGGTAAAAAGTTAAACATATACAGTACTATACAAGCTTTGTGCAAGTAGTATTCAAGCTCTTCTTGTGTGATGTAGGGCTGAGGAACAGAGAGAATATCAAATGATGTGAAGTTTGGGACTTGGGTCAAAAGTTTCTTTGTTCAGATGAGACTGACACTGGACAACTGGAATTTGGAGGATCTAAATTATGCAAAGCAAGACGTTATCTTCATAATCAACGTGAAAAATCTATAGTGCATCAGTCGTAGGAGAGAGGAGCTCAATGGTTTCAATCTCTTGTGCTCATCAATTTGGTACCATATTTCCAGGTAACCTGGTACACTTCACAGCTATAACCTCGAATAGGACTTATTCCTGCAGCTGGTCAGAAAAAGAAAGCAGGTGCGTTCGTACCTTGTCTCCAGCCAGGATCTTGAAGGACTGCATGACCTGCTCGGCGGTGTCCGAGTCTGTCGTCTCCCGCGTCATGAAGTCCAGGAAGGCCTGGAACGTCACGTAACCCGAGCCGTTCGGGTCCACCACGCCCAGGATGTGGGCAAACTCAGCGTCTCCCTACGGGACAGAAACATGGTTCAGACAATGAGACACAGTCTTGTGTACAATATGTCATCAATGGGATTTCAGGATGCTAAATCAGAAGTACTTTACACTTCAACCAAACTGTGTTGAAACCAAAATTGCTTAAGAGGGAATGTCTGTAAGGATCAAACAATGGTGGCAGGGGTCAAAAAATCGATTTGGCTCAAACTTTGCACAGTGATAGTACTTGGCCCACAACCCCTCAAAATAGCTGTCTTTCCGGTCAGCACCGATCGTTGCCATGGTAACGGGCCAAACAAGTTTCGGGGCCATTTTCCCTGATTTAGACATGTGAAAAACATGAAATTTGGCATAGTTTAAGGCACGATTACGAGCAAGTGCTTTATTATTATGGAAAAACAAAGTATGGGCATGAAAGACCAACTAATCCGCTATTCTAGAATAGCTTTGAAATTTTCAAGAAGTTCGTTTAAAGGACCTGGGCAACCCTAACACAATACAGTGTTTGAGGCTTATGAAAAAGCGTTATTTCTTCCCAACTTCAAAGTGCTGTAAGTCCAAAGATGGTGATTTTTTTTGCTTCAAATTTGAATCATAGATACATAAACATATGTGCTATAAAATGCATGGTTGCAAACTTTGGGCACTTCTTTGGTTGTCACGTGGTTGTCCTTAGAAGTAGGTCAAATTTTCAATTTGAGGGAAAATATGATTTTTAGCCATGTTCAGGATACAATATCTACAAAAGAAAGAAAGCAATCTGATAAAGTCTTTTGCCCAAAGTAACACTATGTCTTGTCTATTAAATGAATACTTGTGGAGGTTGGGGTCTTGTGTCGTTGGTGTGCACTTGTCCCTCAAAGTAGGCCATGTTTTGGACATTTACAGAAATTGACATATACGGCTATGTTTGAAACTCTAGAAATAACAAAGTAGAATGTCATTTGAATTCAATCTTTGCAGGGAAGTACATATATGCATTGTGTATCAAATGAATACTTGGGGAAGTTGGGGTCTTGTGTCGTTGGTGTGCAATTGTCCCTAAAAGTAGGCCATATTTTGGACATTTACAGAAATTGACATATATGGCTATGTTTGAAACTCTAGAAATAGCAAAGTAGGATGTCATTTGACTTCAATCTTTGCAGGAAAGTACATATACGTAGTGTGTATCAAATGAATACTTGTAGAGGTTGGGGTCTTGTTTCGTTGGTGTGCAATTGTCCCTCAAAGTAGGCCATATTTTGTACATGTACAGAAATTGACATATACGGCTATGTTTGAAGCTCTAGAAATAACAAAGTAGAATGTCATTTGAATTCAATCTTTGCAGGGAAGTACATATACGCATTGTGTATCAAATGAATACTTGTGGAAGTTGGGGTCTTGTGTCGTTGGTGTGCAATTGTCCCAAAAGTAGGCCATATTTTGGACATGTACAGAAATTGACATATACGGCTATGTTTGAAGCTCTAGAAATAACAAAGTTAGATGCTATTTGAATTCAACCTTTGCGGGGAAGTACACATATATATATATTTATATATATAAATCGTTGTGTCGTTGTTGTGTACTTGTCCCTAAAAGTAGCCATATTTTGGACATGTAGAGAAATTAGCATATACGGCTATGTTTGAAGGTCTAGAAATGACGAAGTAGGATGCCATTTTAATTCAATCTTTGAAGAGGAGTATATATATGTATTGTGTATCAAATAAGGGCTTGTGGAGGTTGGGGTCTTGTGTCGCTGTTGTATACATGTCCCTAAAAGTAGGCCATTTTTTAAGAGCAAATGTCTGCAATGGTCAAACAATAGTGAGCGGGGTCAAAAATCGATTTTGCTCATATTTTGTACAGTGATAGTACTTCGCCCACAACCCCTTGAAATAGCTTTCTTTCCGCTCAAACCCCATTGTTGCCATGGCAACAGCCCATTCAAATTTTGGGGCCATTTTGACAGATTTATGCGTCTCTAAAACACGGAAATTGGCAAAGTTTAGGACGCGGTCACCGCCAACTGCTTTAACGTAACGACAAATACTTCAGGATATAATCAGACCAATGGCTTAACTTGTACGAAATTAGTGTGAAGTTGATGTACATGCAGATTTCAGTCTTTGGGCAACCTCGAAGTAGGTCTTTTTCTGCACTTGTACCCAAATTTGGATTTTGGGCTGTTTTTGAGCTGATGAAAATACCAAAGTGAATTTATTTTCAGACCTATCCTTCTACCATGTGTTTATTATAGTATTGGCTATCACATGGGTGATTTTGAGGGCTTCCTTTTTTGTTCATGTCGTATATGCCTATTTCTGTAAATGTTTAAAATATGGCCTACTTTTAGTGACAAGTATACAACAACGACACAAGACCCCAACATCCACAAGCCCTTATTTGATACACAATACATATATGTGTACTCCTCTTAAAATATTGAATTAAAATGACATCCTACTTCGTCATTTCTAGACCTTCAAACATAGCCGTTTTTGCTAAGTTCTGTATGTACGTCCAAAATATGGCCTACTTTTATGGACAAGTGCACACCAACGACACAAGACCTCAACCTCTACAAGTATTCATTTGATACACATTACATATATGTACTTCCTCGCAAAGATTTAATTCAAATAGCATCTAACTTTGTAATTGTTCTTTCTAGAGCTTCAAACATAGCAGTATATGTCAATTTCTGTACATGTTCAAAATATGGCCTACTTTTATGGACAAGTGCACACCAACGACACAAGAATTCAACCTCCACAAGTATTCATTTGATATACTATAAATATATGTACTTCCCCGCAAAGATTGAATTCAAATAGCATCTTACTTTGTTATTTCTAGACCTTCAAACATAGCCGTATATGTCAATTTCTGTACATGTACAAAATATGGCCTACTTTTAGGGACAATTGCACACCAACGACACAAGACCCCAACTTCCCCAAGTATTCATTTGATACACAATGCATATATGTACTTTCCTGCAAAGTTTGAAGTCAAATGACATCCTACTTTGTGATTTCTGGAGCTTCAAACATAGCCGTATATGTCAATATCTGTACATGTCCAAAATATGGCCTACTTTTAGGGACAATTGCACACCAACGACACAAGAATTCAACCTCCACAAGTATTCATTTGATATACTATAAATATATGTACTTCCCCGCAAAGATTGGATTCAAATAGCATGTAACTTTGTTCTTTCTAGAGCTTCAAACATAGCCGTATATGTCAATTTCTGTACATGTCCAAAATATGGCCTACTTTTAGGGACAATTGCACACCAACGACACAAGACCCCAACTTCCCCAAGTATTCATTTGATACACAATGCATATATGTACTTCTCTGCAAAGATTGAATTCAAATGACTTTCTACTTTGTTATTTCTAGAGTGTCAAACATAGCCGTATATGTCAATATCTGTACATGTCCAAAACATGGCCTACTTTGAGGGACAAGTGCACACCAACGACACAAGACCCCAACCTCCACAAGTATTCATTTAATAGACAAGACATAGTATTACTTTGGGTAAAAGACTTTATCAGATTGCTTTCTTTCTTTTGTAGATATTGTATCCTGAACATGGCTAAAAATCATATTTTCCCTCAAATTGAAAATTTGACCTACTTCTAAGGACAACCACGTGACAACCAAAGAAGTGCCCAAAGTTTGCAACCATGCATTTTATAGCACATATGTTTATGTATCTATGATTCAAATTTGAAGCAAAAAAAATCACCATCTTTGGACTTACAGCACTTTGAAGTTGGGAAGAAATAACGCTTTTTCATAAGCCTCAAACACTGTATTGTGTTAGGGTTGCCCAGGTCCTTTAAACGAACTTCTTGAAAATTTCAAAGCTATTCTAGAATAGCGGATTAGTTGGTCTTTCATGCCCATACTTTGTTTTTCCATAATAATAAAGCACTTGCTCGTAATCGTGCCTTAAACTATGCCAAATTTCATGTTTTTCACATGTCTAAATCAGGGAAAATGGCCCAGAAACTTGTTTGGCCCGTTACCATGGCAACGATCGGTGCTGACCGGAAAGAAAGCTATTTTGAGGGGTTGTGGGCCAAGTACTATCACTGTGCAAAGTTTGAGCCAAATCGATTTTTTGACCCCTGCCACCATTGTTTGATCCTTACAGACATTCGCTCTTAAGACTTATTACAAAAATCAGTACTTTTTTTTAATATTCTGAACAAAAGACCTGAGACATATCTTCTATGCCATGTCTTCTGACATTGAAACTATACTGTGCATTTCACGTGACATGACTTGTACTGGCCAATAATGAAGTGAGTACATTACTCTGAAGCCATCTGAAAAACAATCTATATCATGAGGGACATTTGTACAGTATTAAATATATATATATATATATATATATCCAACTACTAAGATGATTGTAGCATTTTTGTTGTTACACACATATGTGGTGTTGCTATCACTTTCTGGTTAAAAATAGATAGGGAAAGTTTCTTACATCTTTTAATTTTCTTTACCATATGAGCATTTCATGAGCTTGTTGTTACACATTTGTACAATAAAATTAAGGTTAACTATACAACACCCACTACTACACCGATGAGCCCCTACCTTGTCGCCGTCTTGTATATTATATCCAATGCTAATGAGACAAGACTTGAACTCGTTGGGCTCCAGACGACCCGACCCGTCCTACAGAACAAGATTCACGTTCAAAACAAACATGCAGCAGCAGGCAAGGGGCCGGCCCGGACTAGCTGGCTCACCTCACGCTTCAGCTTTTTAAGGACTTTCACGATTTTTTAGGGGTTTTGAAGACTTTTCTGTATCTGTGTCTGTATAACTGCCCTTTGGCGTAACACACCAGCTTTTCAGGGTTACTACAATAATTTCATCAGGTTGGTAGAACATAGGATACTGAGATTTTCTTGTACACAACCAGTCACCGGGCTCATGTTTCGCTGTCTACCAGCTGAGGAAGGTGTCTGATAGACACTGAAACGTAAAGACGGTGAGAGAAGAACTAATTGTGTACAAGAAAATTACAGTAGCCTATGGACGTACATGTAGACTTTTGAAGCCAGAGTTAAGACCAAACGCTCCTATCCAAATGTCAAATTATCTGACATGCAATGTAAGAGAACTTTTTCAGGGTTTTGAAGCCAGAGATAGGACAAAGATGCCAAATACTTCTTCATATCCAAATGCTGAACAGTCTGAAGCTCGTGTGTGAACCAGCGTGTGCGGTTAGACCGGCCCGACACGGATCATCACGCCCCAGTCTTACCTCCCTGCCGGGGTTGAAGTGGTAGCCCATACTCAGCAGGCACTGGCGGAAGCTTTCGGGTTCCAGAGCTAATGTACGTTTCTACACGCCACACGCACGCAGACAAGAGATGACAACACACACACAGAAGAGAGATGACAACACACACACACACACACACACACACACAGACACACACACACACAGACACACACACACACACACACACACACACACACACAAACCCTATACAAACCGAGTACTTCCGTGCTGACGGTCCCCTCGGCCTGCCCTCCGCCCCCTTGCCGGTCCGGACCTGTCGTCATGGCAACGGTCGTCACGGCAACGGTCGTGTTGGAGCCTACTCGACACAGTAACTTTTAATTTCAGTTCAATTACTGTAATAAATACGATATGGCTCGAGCATCTTGGTAAAGGCATCCAATGCGATTTCAGGGCAGCAAAACTGGAAATATTCTGAATAAGGCAATCTTTATGATATTGACACATACTGCTTCACTTTAGCAATTTAAATCAGCATTTCATACTTTGGGCATTTAAAACTGCAGAAACAAGCCCAAAGATGAGTCCTTTATTTTATGGGTGGTACCCTAAAATCAGACCAGGGCCCTTACAGTAACCATTTTCCGTCAGAATGTTTGCTCCATGAGGGCTCAATAGACATTGGGATAGTGTTGTTTCAACTCACTATGTAAATAAATGACTAGAATACTTTAGTATTAGCTTCGAAAAATCGGGTTTCCAAGCCCTAAAAACTGCACTGGATGCCTGAACAGTCTGAACAGTTCTAGTTAGGAGTGTCGGGTAACTTTCCACATTTGCACAATTATCTATCTTGTAAAGATGCCC